AGTATTTTCTTCACTGAGTTTTCTTATCTAACCCCTACAAACAGTAGGGATAGATAGATTAGATGTTATGAAGAGCAACTATAGAAGCCACAGTGAAAATAATACGGCACTAAGCAAAAATCATGGCCTATGATGATTTTAAAATTTTTCAGAAATAAAAAAAACATCAGATATACAAATAACTAATAGAAATCCTTCCCAATACATTAAAAGTTGTGGACAAATTCTCTGATCTTCTGTATCATGCGTATTTCAGCTTACCAGTATGTAAAAAGAAACAACACTTCTTCACACACACACACACACACACCCCAGACCCACAATGGGATCATATTCTAATCATTTCTAGACAGAATACCATGGAACTCAGACAACAGCTGAAAAAATAATTTTGATTAGTACAAGACAGAGACTTTTCTTTTTCAGTAAAATATGTGTGTACATATTATTTATTATACATATATATAGTTATATAATTCTGTGTATGTATGTGTGCAATGGAATCATTTTGTATTTATATCCTCCAACTCTATCAATCTTAGAATATTATAGAATGTTAGCCACTTCATTTGTGTTGGACCTTGAGATCCCTGGATAAAAAATACTATGCAATTATCGAACACTACCATTTATTAACAATAGTAGAAATTAGGGGTCTTGCTAATGATAGAGTTTCTCAAGGAGTATGTTGGGTACCCCCAGTTATATCTTATGGTGTTTATTTCCAAATGAAACAGCTACCAAACTGCTAAACACCCATTTGGTTTAATTTGGAATTCTGTTAGTGAAACAGTATCTGCATAGTCAGGTGAAAAATATCATAATATAAGCTCCTTAAGAGTAGGGATTATTTCTTTCTTTCTTTTCTTTTTTTTGTATTTGTACTGCCAGCACCTAACACAGTTGTTAACACAGAGTAGGTGGTTAACAAATACCTATTAATTAATTAAGTCAAGTCATATTCCTTGGAAATATCCAAGAACAAAAAGGTATGGCCTTTAAAAAAAATTCTATCTAGAATCAGAGTCATTAGGGTTGTCCAAATTCTATTCCACAGAATATACTAGAGCAAATTTTAATTAGTCAACAGTGCATTTCCTGCCAAAATTCCTTAGATTTAAAAAAAATCTTATAAACCTAAAATAAGTGTTCTTTCCTCCTACATCTCACAGAATCTGTGCTTTGAACCTGGAGAGTTCCCATCTCCACTTCTATCCCCATTGTCCATGAGTATATATATGGAAAAGCTATATGACCCAGAGAACTTAGCTTACTGGTACACAGAATAGATTGGGTTTAAAAGCACTAAACGACTTTGTTTTCACTGTCTCTGAAATTAAGTGATTTTGAGACACAGCAATTTTAAATTTTTGATTTTCTGATCATTAAAACCAATGTATGAGATTTTCAAACATATTGATACTAAAATTTGAATTTTTAAAAATAATGGTTTTGAGTTACATGACTAAGTAGCAGAAGATTTTTCCAAAATATCTAGGTTAACCAAAAAGATTCCTTCTCAAATGAAACATGTAAATTTTTATATATAAGCAAGTATTATGAAAGCCAAGGGGCACAGGACTAATGAAAACAATTTTTAAAAAAGTTTTCAGGAGAAAGCATGAGATAGAGAAAATGTGCTGCATTTGGAATCAGAGAACCCTTACTCCCTGTATGACCATGGGCAAGTTTTTAAACTGTCTTAGGTCTCAGTTCCCTCATCTGCAAAAAGAGAGCTTGCACTAGACAACCTCAAAGGACCCCGGCTCTAATTCTATGGTCCTAAAACCTTTAGCCACATACAGACTTGGAGGATAGGCATTAATGCTCCAGCAACCCTATTTCTAATTAAACTTTACCCTGCAATACAAATGGGTTTTTAAAAATACATTTAAACCTAGATTGACAAGTTTTATATAAAGAGGGCCAGAAGAAAAATGGGAAAGAGCAATTTTCTTTATAAACCTACAGGTTTACACAGGGGAAGAGGATAAATTAGATGATGATTCTTTGATAGATCACATGTTTGGAATTTTGAGTATATGAGAAGAGGTTGGAGCTCATTTGGAATTTTTTTTTGGGGGGGGGAATTGGGGTTAAATAACTTGCCCAGTGTCTTGCAGCTAGTAAATGTGTTAGGGTAGATTTGAACTCAGGTGCTCCTGACTCCAGGGCTACTGCATCACCTACCTTCCCCCTTATTTGGAATTTTGAAGACCCACAAGAAGAGTATAATAATGTTCAGGGTATAAAGCAAGGACTAAGATTTTACAGAGGTGATCAATATCTGCTGCTCATCCCTCAAATTTTTTATTTTTTCAAAATAAATTTTATTGATGCTTTTTGACGTTATATTATAGCAACAGTGAGATGGGGAAGGGAATCTCCCCCCTCAAAATTGTACCCTCCCTCGTAACAAGGAAAATAGTTCAGCCAAAGCACCCCATTCATTGGCTCCTTTTGAGAATCTGTCCAATCTTCCACCCTAATAGTCTGCTGTCCCTTTACCATGAGGAATAAAGCATCTTTAATTCTCTGTTCTCCAGAACCATCTTTTTTTTAACTTACTCATATTCATCTTGTTTTTAATAATGTTTCCATTTACATTGCTTGTAGTTATTGTGTACAGTGGTCATTTAGTCATGTTTATTTCACATTGCATCAGTTCAAAGGATTCTTCTAGCGTTTTTGAGAATTCATAATATTTAATAATTTAAGGGGAAGGGAATAAACACTTATGGAGTTCCTGCTATGTATCAAACACTGTACTAAGTGCTTTTATTGTTGCTTGCTCTATCATATTCTTGCGTTATAGTTTTTTTTTTCAGCCATTCACCAACTGATGTCACTCACTTTGTATCTAGTTCTTTGCTTCCACAAGAAGCAATGCTGAGAATCATTTGGTATATGTTATCCATGACTCCCATGCAGTATATGTCCAGTATTGGAATCACTGCTTAAAGGACAGTTTTGTAACTTTTCTTGCATAATTCCAAACTGACATGCAGAATAGTTGAAACCATTCACAGCTCCACCAATGGTTAATTAATATGCCTTTCTCAACATTGATCATTTCTTTATTCTCTGATAGTTAGAAGATGCTCTCTAAATGTATGACCATGTGCAGAACATAATGCATAACATATAATCAGGTGTAGATTAGTATAGAAGAGAGTGTAGCTGGCAATGTCTTAAGGTAACTGAGTATATTGCTGTTATATAATTGCCTCACATTACTCCTAAGTCTATGATAAATATTCACATTTACTTAGTTCCTATGTCTGTGGAGGACAAGTAATAACTGATCTTCACTAACAGAGTTCTTCAGCAAAGGGAAAGTTAAAGCTAAGTTGTTCTTTCTTCTATAAAAATTAAAAGCCTCTATTTCTGACCTGAATTATCAATAAAGCCTTTCTTTATGATCTATAATTGAGAAGACTGATTGGCCAAAGATACAAGACTGAACTGATGTACAGTCTTTCTTAGTTCATAATTTGTTTTTGGGCACCTGAGATTTGACACATATTTCATAATTTCAGTGGCCTTAGACACAAGTGGCTATCAGGATTGGGTAGTAGCACTACATGGGACAGTTTCTTATAATTAGCCTAAAAATGATACATATTCTGTAACCTTGAGAGGTGATTGTTATCATAAGGTAGAAAGCCTTCCTTGTACATATTTCTAATAATTGCCCTGACAATCACATCAGAAGAAGCTATCATTTTCTCATCCTAGGTGGGGAAGGAGTATAGGACCAGGTAGGCGTATAGTCTAATCAGACTTCTCTCAAAAGTTACAAAGTGGGGGAAAAAAACTTTCACTTTTAATAGGCCAACTAAGAAGTTACAAGTGACGTGACATACTTCAAAGAAATACATCAACTTAGCATTGAAGCATAAAGGATTATGATAAACTCTGCTTAATGCAAGTGTTTCTTTTCCTAGGAAAGGAATCTCCCCAAATGGACCTTGTACTTGCGGTTTCAGTGTAGAACAACAGTTAAATGAGTCAATCCTATACAAGTGGTTGCTATTATCACTTAGTCTTAATTCTACAGGTAGATATTCGTAAGTTAGTAGCACCTTAAATTGTCAAGAGTGTCACAGCAGTCATGTAAGACACAGATCAAGAAAAAGGCCACCCAGAACAAGTAAAATGATAATAATTGATATTTACCTACTGTTTTAAAGTTGCAAAATGTTTTTACGTATATGACCTACATGAATTTAAAAGGAGAAGTAAAATACAGTTCCTGGGATAAATTAATGAACTTGCCTTTCTAACTCAGGCCAACTTAAGATATGGCCATGAAGACATCAACTGGTATTTTACTGGTGATAGTAAGAATAAACCAATTTTACAATTGATGGGGATTTATTGGAAAGAGGCAGATTGAGAGAATCAAGGTGGGAGACAGGGAAGTGGAGAAAAGCAAGGGAGATGAACGAAGAACAGGTACTGGGAGTTGTGTTGACTGCCAGATTAATAGGCTGATCCTTAGAATGCTAAATTGCTCAGAAGGCTAAGCAGAGGTTAGTCAGGAAAGCTAGGGAAATCCCAAGATGGAAACATGAGAAAGGGAAGTGTTGGCCTCTCATATGTAAAGGTTTTATTTTATGATATCCCTGAAGAGGGGAAGCTAAGTCTTGGAGTCATCAGAATTCATGAGCACAGTAATTCTATTTAAATAAAAGCATCTGACCATAGCATGTTTGAAAATCAAATTCTTATTCAAACTCTTAAGCCAAAATCTAACATTAAAAGACAATATTTCTTAAGGGGTTTTCTGTCTATGGCAGAGGAAAAGGTTCATTTCCCTTTCTCCCTCTTTTCTCATATTAAAAATGGAACCCAATATATCATTCAGCAGGCTCAGTAATCTCTTATAAAGTGATTTTTTTTTATTTTATAAATTCAGAATGGCATTAGGTAAGCAATCATGGAAACTGCCTCCTGACTTAACAGGAACTCAATGAGCACTCTATTTTCCCCTCCAGGATGGATGGTCACAGTATCACTTTGTAGCCTCATCTTCAACAATAGAAAGAGATCGGCAAAGACCATATTCTTCATCACGAACACCCTCCATTTCTCCTGTGCGCATGTCTCCTAACAATCGCTCAGGTAAGAAGGTGCCAATAATAAGCAAAACACATGTTTCTAACAAAGATGAAAGCACCTTAGTTGATCAAAACACCATGCTTGGGGGAGGAGGGCATTCAGGTCCTATGGATTTATGTGTGTGTATGTATACATGTATGTATACATTTATGTATGTTTGTAGATATAGATATCCTTTTTAGTGACACGTTTGTGGAAATTGTAAAGCGAGCACTGCCATAAATTGCTAACATTATTTTATGTGGGCTAACCCATCAGGATTGACCAGAGTCCAATAATGGAAAAGAAAAGGGCAAATTTCTACTATCATGCAACTACTACTTCCTTGGAAAGCTTCCAGACTGAGTCCTTTAAGTATCACATCAGTGGCAGTCATAAAAATAGTTCTGAACAAAGAAAAATCTTTTGGACAGCAGTGGAAAGCCTTCCAGCTCCAGACAGTTCTGGAGTTTTAGTGCTAGACTGCATGTTAGTAGCGTTATTTATACTGTACACTCAACCCTACAGTTGGAGCATGAATAAATTGCTATTTTGTTGACTAAGGACATTTAAGTGATTCAGTTCAGTTTTCCATATAGTTTATCACCTTGTCACTTAGCTTTGAGCTTACTTTAGTCATTTCCTTGGAGATATACTATATTTCACAGGACAGTGGATCTTGAGGTAGAAGGGACCCCAAAAGCCACCTAGGCCCCATTTTGCAGATGAGAAGACTGAAGGCAGGGGTTATTAAATGACATCTACAAAGTAACACTGATAGGAAGCATCAGAATTAGGATTTAGACCCAAGTTCTCCAACTACAGTCCCTATACTTATTTCTACTCTTTCCAAACCACGTTAAGTCATGCATTAGCATGGCTTACCTCAGAAAGCAGGAATAAGCTTCCCAGAACATACTGTAGTCATGCAGGAGGCATGGTTTTCATTGTTATTTAGATGGTAGAAATGTCATCTCACTTTTCTGAGTCTCTACTGTAGAGAGATATATTTAGAATGAAAGAAGTGTCTTCAGGCTTTTCCTTCCTTCCCCTGCCAAAAAGTTCTTGTTTCCAAAGCTGGGTCAGAGGGTAGCATGGTAGATGGCATCAAAAATAGCCTAGTTGGCCTTGAAAGAGTTTCTCATAAAATCTTATACAAGAATTTACAGTTAACCTAAGACTTGTCTGAATGATGAAGAAACTCAGAAAAAATGTAGGAGAAAAATGACCAGAATAAATTACACTCTCCCGTCCAAATGGAAGAATACATGTTTCAGTGTGATAGGGTTTAAAACCCTTGGACTGCCAATAAGACTAGAGACAGAGAATTTGAAATTGCTGTCAACTTAAAAGTGGCAGACCTCCACTTGTATGTAATAAGGATGATCATATGATGACAATATGGTAAAAAGGTCTCTTGGAACCATTTCCAAATCTGGATTTGCTTTATCAAAAACCCAGTCTCTTATTTCTAAATAAATGGAGAATCAGCCAGCACAAGATCAGTTTTTAGGCTCATATATATTTAACTCTCCCAAAGAGGAAGCATATTTCTTCATCACATTTGCATATATACACCTAGTCAATGGAGAAAAAAAGTTTGAAAGCACCTATTACATATGAGATACTGTTCTAAATAAACACCTAGAATGTAAAGATATATAGATTCAGGCCCTGTTCTTAAGGAGCTTTCACTCTGAAGGTGGGGATAGAAAGAATACATGTACACAAGTAGCTATGATTCAAGGAAGAAAATGACGAGGGAGGTTCTGGCAAAGGACTGTGAGAAATTTAAGGAGGGAGAGATCACTTTGGGGGTAGCTAAGTGGTTCAGTTCTGGGCCTGGAGTCAGAAGATGAGTCTTCCTGAATTCAAATCCTGCCTCTGATGCTTACTAGCTGTGTGACCTTGGGCAAGTCACTTAACACTATTTGCCTCAGTTTCCTCATCTGTAAAATGAGCTGGAGAAGGAAATGTCAAGCCATTCCAGTATCTTTGCTAATAAAATGCAAAATGGGGTCATAAGGAATTAGACGTGACTGAAAACAACTGACCAACAAAAAAGCAGAGTATTTTGCTTTGGGAGGTAATGAATTTCCCATGACTGGAGGTCTTCTAGCAGAGACTACATGATTCCTTCTGAGGAATGCTATAGAGGAGATTCCTTTGCACATAAAGTGTGGACTAGATAAGTGTTATCAAATTCAAATGGATACAACGGCCACTAATCTGTACCTAAGGGTCCCTGTGGACACTATATTGGCTTAGTTTTAAAATATAAACTATTTTTATTTGTTTTTAAAAATATCTCCCAATTACATTTTACTCTACTTCTACTGCACTCAGAAGCATTTGGGCCTGCATGTTTGACACCTCTTGACTGGATAATCTCTGAGGTTCCTTCCCAGTCATTCTGTGAGCCAGGACTGCCTCTGTGAGGCACAGCGTTGGTCAGGAAGGACTGTGTCTACAGTGTGGCAGTTCTCCTGTAATTTCAGTTATTTATGCCAGAGTAACTGTGATCATTCCTCTATTCTTCCCATAATATACTACAATATAAGGAAGAATAATAGCTTTAGATTAGTTGATTGCTACCCTAATTTTGTTTTTTTTTCCTCTCCACTTGATAAGAACTACAGTAAGCACAGCAATAATTCACAGGGATGTTGCAAAGATGAAATGAGAGGATAGATTTAAAAAGTATTTTAGGGGTAGGTAGGTGTTGCAGTGGATAGAGCACTGGCCCTGGAGTCAGGAGGACCTGTGTTCAAATCTGGCCTCAGACACTTAGTAGCTGTGTGACCCTGGGCAAGTCACTTAACCCCAATTACCTGAAGGAAAAAAAAAGTACTTTATAGGAAATGCAATTTTTCATAAGTGCTAGGTATTATTAACATCATAATCATCCAGATAGCTTGTTTTCTGTGTGCTTCCCAAGAATGCCACATAGTAGACACTTAAAATCTGTTGACTTGTTTTGGCTTTTATAGCATACAATGCATAGGTTACTCAAGAATTGGGTCATTACACCAGCCCTGGAGTCAGGAGGACCTGAGTTCAAATCTGGCCTCAGACACTTGACACTAACTAGCTGTTTGACCTTGGGCAAGTCACTTAACCCTATTGCCTAGCCAAAAAAAAAAAGGAGTAAAAAAAAAAATTGGGTCATTATTGTCACTCAGTTGAAATATCAAGGAATAATTACATATATGGAATGGTTTAATAAACACTGACACCTGTGTAATATTAAACTTTAATATTTTAAAAGTTAGGGCAAAAAGCATCTCCCAAATATAGCCCTTTAATGACTAGTGACAGTGTCTACAAAATATCAACCTATTTGAATAAAAGCAAAGGATCTTGGGAGGAGTGACAAGGAAGAGTGATAAGGAGGAGGAAAGAAAGAAGGAAAGGGGAAGGAGGGAAGTGGAAGTTAGAAGCAGCTATAGCAGCCTCCCAGAGCTCGGTAGCAATGACAGGGAATGTTACGTTCTGATGAAAGAGGAAAACCAGGGACCAAAACCAAGCAAAAATCAAATACTAAACAATTCTGCTGTTGGTTTGTAAACAAGTGAGAATCACTGAAGATTTTTGAGCAAGGAGTGACAAGATCAAAAATATGTCAAACTTAACACAGTTGACTAAGTAATCAATCATCAGGCATTTATTAAACATCAACTATGGTAACAAGAATTGTGCTAGGCCTTAGGGATAAACATGCAAAGGTGAAACAGACCCTGATCTCATGGTACATATCACTGGGTGATACTCCATTCTCAGATAAGTAAAACTAAAATTTATACACAATTTGAAAAATGATTTCTATAGGGATGGAGAACTAACAACTGGAGGGGTATATTGCAGGCAAAGTCAAATGTGGAGGTAGAATATTATGTATGGGATACAGTTTGGCTGAATTATACTTGCAGTTATGTGTAATAAGCCTGGAAATATAGGCTGAATCTAAGTTATAAAGCAGTAGCTTGTGTTTTGTCCTAGAGGTAGTGGGGAGCCAGTGGAGTTTCTTGAACAGGTGAGTGACATGGTAAGATCAGTGCTTAGGACATATCAATTTGACATTTGTGTGAAGAATGAATCTGGCTAGGGGGATGGGGCTATGGAAAAAATCTAGGCAAGAAGTGATAAGGGCCTGAACTAATGTGGTAGAGGTATGGGAATGTAGAAAGTAATTTTGTGGAGATAGAATAAAGAAGACAGCAATTAATTGAGGACCATCATTTATAGGAACATAAATCAATATGCTATCATTCTCTATAACACACTCCCATTACTTTGTTTCTCACTAGACAGATTATATCTCCTCCCACACATCTGTACAGCAGCAGCCCTCATGTTCTAGCTACTCAATAACTATTACCCTGGAAGCATACAGCCATTCTAACTTTCATTTCTTTTCTCCCTTGCTTAGAAATTCATTTCTCCCTCCCTCTTATCCAGTTTTCATGGAATTCTAGATTGGTAGAATTTAACAATTTGGAAGGGACTTTATAGTCAAGGCTTCTGAAGCACAGAAAACTTACATGACTTGTCCAAAGTGGCGAGTTTCAAAAGGTGTATGAGAGTTTGCTGAAGGTTGTGTGAGATACGGTGAAGCATGAATGAGTGTCAGAGAAAAATAGTATTTGAGACTATACTGAGATAGAGAATCTTAATCAGCAAGCATTTATTAAGCATTTATAATATGCTAGGCACCAGGGATTAAATAAATAAGTAGTTCCTGCCCTCAAGAAACTTACATTCTATTGAGAGAAACAACATACACATATATCAATGTATACAAATTAAATAGAAGAGATGTTTTTTGGCGGGAACACTGTCAGCTGGGTAAATCTAGAAAGACCTCATGTTAAAACTAGCACTGGGGCTGAGCTTTGAAGGAAGTGAGGGGTTCTAAGAGGTAGAGGTGAGGAGAGAGCTCATCCCCAAGCATCAGGAATGGCCTCTGTAAAGGGACAGAGATGAGAAATGGAATATTGTATGTGAGGATAGCAAGAGGGCCAGTTTGGTTGAACCATAGCATTTGAAGGGGAGTGATGTCTAATAAGTCTGGAAAGACACGCTCAGCTGCATCCTGTATAAGAAAAAACAGATCTCTACAATCATATCTGTTCTCTGCAAGATATCACATGCAAGAAAAGTTTCTATTATCTCTTCCCCAGTAGCGCTCACTCTGAGCACTTTGCCTAAACACAAGGAACAAGAACCATTCCAGAGTTTCCAGGAATCTCTTGTAAATCTTTCTCTTAAGATCTGATAAGATCTTGAATGAGGGTCAAAGCATTTTAAGTATTGTTATTATATATCATAGGGAAGCAGGACAGTACTGTGCCTTGCTCTTTAATTACTCACTACCTACTTTTGTAGGTCGCCATTTTAGATTTGCTACCTGTTAACACAGAGATTTGCTCACATCAAAGAATGATAAAGTCTCCTTTTCTCAGAGTGGAAGAAGGCTATCCAATCCACTGTGTAGGAGAATTGTCTCTACATTCCTGACCTCCCCTTCCCCCAAAGAAAAATCAACAAGAAGTTGTTCAAGACATCGAGTGAGGGAGGAACCTACCACCTCCCAAAACAATCATTGCACCTTGGGATGGCTGTTACTTACATCAATCTTAAAAATCTCTGTCTCTGTCTGTCTCTGTCTCTTTCCCTCCCTCCCTTTCCAATTTCCATCCATTGCTCCTAGCTCTCCTCTCTGAAGGTATGAATAGTAATTCCTTTTCCACAGCATAGCCCTTCAAATATTTAAAGAGTTATGTCCCCCACCATCCTCCCTTTTCCAGGCTGAACATCTCAAATTCTTTCAACTCATTCCACTATAGGATGGTATCAAAGCCTTTCACCCTCCTTTGACTGCTTTCCAGCTTATCAATATTCTTCCCAAAATACTCTTGGTGTGGTCTGATCAGAACAGAATAAAGCAAAGCTATTGGCTTCCTGGTTGTGGACACTCCATAGCCTACAGCTGAATTAGCTTTTGGGACTAACATATTACGTTGGTGACTCATATTAGTTTATAGTCTATTAAAAGCCCCAAATGAACTTTTTCAGAATTGCTATGTAGGTACTTCTCATTTTCTACTTAATGAAGTTAATTTTAAGCCTGAGTGCAACTCTATATTGTTGAGACCTTTCTGTTTCCTGACCTTGTCATCCAATGTGATAGCTACTCCTCTTAGCTTTGCATCAGATTCACATTTGATAAGCACGCCATCCATATCTTTTCTTGTTGTTGTTGTTGCTGATTTGTTTCAGTCATGTTGGACTCTTTCTGATCCCACTTGGGGTTTTTTTGGCAAAGCTACTGGAGTGGTTTGCCATTTCCTCCAGCTCATCTTATATATAAGGAAATCAAGGCAAATGGGGTTAAGTGATTTGCCCAGGGTCACACAGCTAGTAAGTGTCTGAAGCCAGATTTGAACTCAGATCTCCTTGACTCCAGGTCCAGTGCTTTATTCATTGTACCACCTAGCTGCCATGTCTTTTCTAGGTCATTGACAAAATTGCTAAAGGACACCGGGACGACCAGAGATCTCTACAGCACTACACTAGAGACCTTCCACTGAGCTGACGTTTAGCCATTAATGATTATTGCTTGAGTGCAGCTGCTCACAACCAATTCCAAATCTGTCTAACTGTAATATTTTCTGTCAACATTTTGTCCATAAAAGTAGCATAAGACTTTGTCAAATGATTTACTAAAATCTAGTTAAACTATATCTACCATCCCCCAATGAAGTTTTTCTGGCATGACCAGTTCATATTGAAGCCATGTTGTCTTCTCATTTTCACTGCTCGTTCTCTCTTTCTGTATATATATATATACATATATATATATATATATATATATATATATATATACATATATATACATATATATATACATATATATACACATATATATATACATATATATACATATATATACATATACATATACATACATATATACATATATATACATATATACATATGTATACATATATACATATACATATACATATATACATATATATACATATACATATACATACGTATGCATATATATACATATACATATATACATATACATATATATACATATACATATACATATACATATACATATACATATACATATACATATACATATACATATACATATACATATACATATATACATATACATATACATATACATATACATATACATATACATATACATATACATATACATATACATATACATATATGACATATTCAGGAATTAAGGTCAGGCTCACTGGTCTGTAATTTTCAGACTCTACTCTCACTTTTTTGGCAACTGAGTTGGATCTTGAAGGCTATGCAAAGTTTCAATAGCTGAACATAAGGGTTAGTAACTTTTAAGGGATGGGGTGTGATGTTGGGGGGGTGAGAGATAGAGGTAAAAAAGGGCAAGATAAATTTGTGAAAGAAACACATCCAAAGGCCTCACCTCCATCTATGTAGATTTCTTGCTCTAGATTATCAAGAAGATAGAGTAACAAATTGCTCTTCCCTCAAAATATAGCTTTCTAAAGAGTCTGGCTCTCCACTGGCTAATCTTTCGAATGCATCACTAATAAAGCATCAATGACTACTCCCTTCATTTCCCTTACCACAAGCATCCAGGAAATAAAGTTTCAGTAAACTGAGTCCAAATGGGGAAATCCCACCACGCAAGAAATGACTCTGGGTTAGAAAATTTTAGGCAGACTGATGAAAATCCCTATGCACAAGTGACCTTTCAGCCTCTCTAAAGAAAGCTAATTCTGCTATTTGGGTGTAGGGCTGGTCCATTTTTAAGCAGAACTATTTTTGTTGTTCTCATAGTAGTCCAGAGGGTCCTTAGTGGTAATAGTAGTGTCCTCCAAATCCGTTTTACGTAAAGTAAAGATACAGTTGTACTATTCATAGAGTATCCAGAAAATAGCCAGGCTACATATTCATAATGCCTCCTGGGTCACCTCTCTCTAACACAAGACATTCACTTTTGGAACAGAAAATCTGAAGGACATACCACCAAACCAATTATCACTAGAACTCTCTTTCCCCTTAGCTCTGATTGTTGAATGATGTACAACTGACTATCCATGTTTGTGTATTTGAGAAGGAGGAAATCAAAAACTAAGTTTTATTGTCAATACATATTTTTAAACATATATATTATGTGTGTGTGTGTGTGTGTGTGTGTGTGTATATATATATATACACACACACACACACACACACACACATAAAAATTAAGTTTTGAAGTACAAGTTCTTATGTTATTAATGTAAAAGCCTCATTTATAGCAAAGCTAATAAAATATGTATGGGCCAAATTGTGAGAACCCAAAAAAAATTGTTTTTGTTTTTTCCTGCATTAGCAAGTGCCCCAGCCTCACCTCGAGAAATGATCAGCCTCAAAGAGAGGAAAACAGATTATGAGTCCACCGGAACAAATGCCACTTACCATGGAACTAAAGGAGAACACACTTCCAGGAAAGATACCATGACAGGTGAGATGAAAATACAGAGTTGCATGGACCAATCAACTTTACTAGTAAAGTGAGAAGGTAGGTCGGGTTTCCATTCTGTAAAGAGGCTTGACAGTGCATTGGTGGTTAGCAAGCCGATTTGCTTCTTGGGGCTTTGGTGGAAAACATTTCCTGGAATTGGAAATGAAGGGTAAGATTGTGCTACATGGATAAAAATTGAACATCATATTCTTGGTAGTCACAAGGAAGTTTGAAACCTGAATGGAAGTAACTCAAAGAAAAATGTCTTACTCAGCCCATTTTATTATCTGGCTCTATCTTCCTGTCCTTTTATTTCTTCCTCGGTACATTCCCATTATAGAGAGGAATCACACAGAAGGTTAATTTTCACCATCACAAGAAATGAATCAGAATCCTAGAGAGAAAAGAGACTTTGGAGGTCACCTAGTTAGAGGAACATCACATAAAATGCTTTGTAACTATCAAATGCCATATAAATATCAACCACTGCTAATTCTTATTTAATCCAACCTCCCACTTGATCCATAAATTCTCTCCACAGCATTCCTAATCCTAACAGGTAGTCAGTCTTACACCCTATGCTAAAAATGGAAACTACCTCACTGAAGAAAAGGAGGCAGGTGATACATGGGAAAAGCAGAGGATTTCGAGTCAAAGGACTGTGGTTCAAGGCCCCAGTCTTGCCTCTCTCTACCTGTGTGACTTTGGACAAGTTACTAACCTCTCTGGACCTCTATTTCCCCATCTGTAAAAGGAAAGAATTGGAGTCAATAGTGTCTGAGGTCCTTTCTGTTCTTTTGGGAGATGGAGGTGGGAAATAGTTCTAATGATAGAAAATTATTTATTAAGCTAAAATCTGCTTTCCTCTAACTTCACCATATTTCATAGTTGTAAGGGACCTCTGAAGTCATCTCATACAACCTAGATCTGAAAAAGAATCCCTTCTATATCATAAATGATGAAGTAGTTGTCTTGTCCTTTACTGAAAACCTACAGGATCTCCTCAGAAAACCCATTCCATTTACGGAGAACTCAGATTATCTGGGACTCATGGTTTTTCCTTATATCAAGCCTAAATCATTTTCTTTGCAAATTAAATCCAGTATTTCTCATTGTGCCTCTGGGACTAAGCAGAACAAGTCTAATCCCTTTTCCATAAGATAACCTTTTAATGGTTTAAGACAGCTATCCTGTCCCCCATGAATCTTCTCTTTTCCAGGCTAAATATCTCCAGTTTCAACTCAGTAAAGACATAAGAGGGTCTATTCACACTTTTGCCCTTGGTATCATACAGAATAAGTCTACTTCCATTCTATATCACCATTATCATCATTTTCATAACTAACATTTAGCCTTTCCCATATTTAAAGACATCTGACATGTTCCCCCTAAAGCCTTTCGTTTTCTAGGGAAAAACCTTTGACCTTTCCTCAAGTGACCTAACTTCCAGACCCCCTCAATCTACTGACTGCCTATCTATCTATATCTGTTAAATAGATATTGATACGGGGCAGCTAGGTGGTACAGTGGATAGAGTGCCGAGCCTGGAGTCAGGAAGACTCATCTTCCTGAATTCAATTCTTGCATCAGACATCTACAAACTGTGTGACTCTGGGCAAGTCACTTAACCCTGTTTGCTTTAGTTTCCTCATCCAGAAAAGGAAATGGCAAACCACTCCAGACCTTTGCCAAGAAGACCCAAATGGGGTTAAAAAGAGACTGAAATAACCAAACAACAGATATTGATATATAGATTATGTGCTTGAGTTTGTCAGTGAATGTCTTAAAAAGGGGCACCCAAAACAGAAAAAAGTTCTCTAGATACGATCTTACAGCACTTGAATCTTTTAGTGGATCCATGATTTTATCCATGTGGGTAATTGTTCTAACAGTACAGATCATAGATCACAAACCATCCACTCTTCCCTGTTTAATTTTTGTTCATATCCTCCCATAAATCTTCCCTATGGAGCTCATACAGTATTCTGGAAGTGATCCCTGTTGGTCTTTTAATATCACGTAGGTACCACTGTAATGCCTCAACTGTCCCGCTGTTACCATTAAGTCTCATTACTTGCCAGACCACCTCCTGTTCTAATCCTGCACCTCTTAACTAATCTTCTGTGCCACTTCTTGGGTGCAAATCATTGTTGATAATGTTGCAGCCTATTACTTAAATCATACATGTTTCTATTGCCCTTTGGATACCATCTCAACAGCAAATACAGTGAAATCATCTTCCTTCTGCACACAACAGCACTGCGAATAAAGCCTGAGATCATATGGTCTTTTTGGCAGCCACATCACATTTGATTCACATTGAAAATGCAGTCCACAAAAACCTCAACTTCTTTTTCATATAAACTAGAAGAACAAAAGCAGGATTTCCCTTCTTTTGTATCTGATTTAGCAAAGAGCAGTATTTCACATTGAGTCCAACTAGAAAGTCTAACTAACACAGATAGTCAGAGGCAGACCTAAGAGCAGAGCCCATGGTTCCCAAACTTCCAGTGCAGAGTTCTTCCTCCTATACTGTTCAACCAGCTAGGAATCCAAATAAGTATATCTGGCCCACAATTCTCTTAACTCATCCAAAGAGAGCTCTTAAACTTTTATTTTATTTATATATATATATATATATATATATACATATATATATATATATATGCACACATATATGTAATTTTATATAAACCATATATAGGAACCCTTTTACTATATATGTATAGTTTATATAAAATTATTTTTGTATAATGTATTGTATTATATTGTATTATATATAGTAATATAATATATAAAACATTTATAATAATATATATAAAATGTACAAACATATACATACACAATCTTTTTATTTATTACTTTTTTTGCCATAAAAAGTTTGATAGTATTTATTTTATCATCTTGGGATACAAACAGGATATATACATATACATATACATAAATATATATTATAACATTATATATATATAAATAAAACTATATATAAATTATATATGTAATTTATATATATATATATATATATATAATTTTTTCTATGTGTACAATATCATCTTGATATATCAGGTGACTAACTCTGTAAAAGTCAGATATAAGACTGGCATAGCCTAATCTTAGTCATCTCTGTGGATTCTAATGAACAGTGCTCTCCAGAGTATTCACAAAGTGTTTAATAATGCATTTTAGAATTTTTCCAGGAATTATTCAAGCTCACTGGAGTGCAGTCTCTGGGACAGGTAAGTGGCACAGTAGATAGTGTTGGACTTGGATTTCATCAAGATCTGACTTTTAGACCTACCTCAGATACTTACTAAATGACTCTAGGCAAGTCATTTAATCCCCTTCAGCCCAAGTTCCCTCAACTGTGACTCTCGCAGTGATGTTGTGAAGATCACATATGAGATGACATATGTAAAGCATTTGATGTGCTTAACGTGCTACATAAATGCTACCTATTATTCTGAAGATAAGGATATTGTGTGTCTGTCTTCAGTCTTCTGGATACTGTCTTCTCCACAGTTGCGTAGAGATTACAAATAGTATTTCTCAAAGATTTTTTTACAGGTCCCTGGGATGTAATTCATCTCGTCCTAAAGATTTGAACTCTTTTAAAGTAACAAGATACACAACTTTTTTCTGGAATAAAAAACAAGAGAGGCCAAAGACTTGCATGATATACTGAAGCATCACAACTGTATATCACAAATATTTCCTTCAAGAAGGGAAGCACTCTAATGGCAAGCACAAAATATCACAAAAATTAAATTGACTCTATTTTAGTGGACATGAAATGACTGGTTATTGACATGGGACTCATTTTCTAGTCAGCCTTCTGAATAGCCTGACCACTTACTTATTAGAGCAAAGATCAAAATCAATACTAAATTTTAATAAAGAATAAAAATGAGAAGATCAAGTATCCTACTGCGGCAGCTTTAAACCAGTGGATTTAAATAAGCTGTTGACACCAAAAAAAAAAAAAAAGGAAACAGATATGGAAAAAAAAACATCAAAAGAGACAGTCATCATTTCTTAAGAAGCTGAATGATGGAGCTTGGTGGTGCAATGCAGGGCCGGGAGTCAGGAAGTCTCATCTTCCCGAGTTCAAATCTGGCCTCAGACACTTACTAGTTGTGTGACCCTGGGCAAGTCACTTAAACCTCTTTGTCTCAGTTTCCTCATCTGTAAAATGAGCTGGAAAAGGAAATGGAAAACCATTCTAGTATCTTTGCTAAGAGAACCCCAAATTGGGTCACAAAGAGTCAGACATGACTGAAACAACTAAATAGCAACAACATCATTATCTATAACAAGAATAAAAGAACCTGAAACCACATCAACCAACACACACTTGGTTTTCTTGCCAAGCAAAGAGATGTAGGCAGCCAAGAGTGTATAAATCAGTTTGTATAATCTCATGGAGGTTCTTTTAATTTAACGAGCAGTTATTAAGTGCCTACCTTGTACAAGGCACTAGAGATACAAAGACACACACAAAAAAACTTTCCCTAACCTCAATGAGCTTACATTCTACTGGCAGATACAACATATCCATATAAGCGAATAAAAGACCTATGCAAAGTAATTTGGGGAAAAACTACCAACAACTGGGGACATCAAGTAATGTCATGGTGGCACCTGAACTGAGCTTAGACAAGGTCTGGGCATTCTAAAATACAGAGTAGAGATGGGAGAGCGTTCTAGATATGGAGGCCAGCCTAAAAAGTTTGGAGCCCAGGTGATGAAATGTGGTATATAGGGAATCACATATAAGCCAATTTCAGTACAACATTGCATAAGTTCAGAACAAAAATATGATATAAGTCCAGGAAGATAGACTTGAATACCAAACAAAAGTTTGTCTTTTATCATAATGATCATAGGGAGCCAACAGAATGTCACAATCAGACCTGTGCTTTAGGAATGTTAATTCAGCAGCTGTGTCGAAGATGGATAGGAAAATGGAGAAAAGCATGGTAGAAGATTATAAAGAGCTTCAC